CAACACACACACACACACACACAGAGCTAGGACTCGACCCTGCAACACAAATAGTGAGTACACACACACACACACACACACACACACACAACACACACAACAAAACACACACACACACATCACACACACACACATACAACACACCCACACACAACACACACACAGGAGCTAGGACTCGACCCCTGCAACCACAAATAGGTGAGTACACACACACACACACCACACACACACACACACATACACACAAACATACACACACATACACACACACACACACCACACCAACACACACACACACACACACACACACACACACACACATCACACACACCACACACACACACACACACACACGCACACACACACAGCCCGACACTTAACCGGCAATTATCACCAATCTTCTAAATATTACTTAAATTGGGCCCAGAGGATCAAATTACCTTGAGTTCGGAAACACAACTCTATAATTACTTTGAGTAGGTGAGCCTTATAATTACTTAGAGAGGGTGACCCCTATAATTACCTGGAGTAGGTGAATTACCTCAGAGTTGGAGTTTGTTAAATATAGCCCAGGTAAGTGCTGTCATTATTTCCGCGTCACTAAAAGCTAACAGACAGCCTCTATAATTATAGCCAGGCCTTTGACGGGAGATAAACACACAATTATAGTCTTTGTGTAACAAAATTTGTTGAGGCCAGGGTTAGTATAACCTGGCGGTGCGTAGTATAGCTTTTGAGGGACGGGGAGAGAGACTTTACAGAGTTACTGGAACATTTCCAGCAGGTCTGCTACACTTCCAGCAGGTCTTAAACACTTCCAGTAGGTCTGGAACACTTCCGGCAATCTAACATTCAGGTATCCAACTTCAACAGGTCTGGAACACACCACAGGTACTAAACACTTCCAGTAGGTCTGAAACACTTCCAGCAGGTCTGAACACATCACACTCAACACATCCTTACACAATCTGGAACACTTCCAGCAGGTCTTAAACTTTCCACAGGCTGAACATGCTATCACAGGTCTGGAACACATTCCAGCAGTCTGGAACACTTCAGCAGTCTGAAACATGTAGATGAAGTGGAGTTCCAAGGGTCAAGTTCTAGTACTATATGTAATTAATATGACAAGTGGGTCCTCATGGACGGAAAAATAAGTGAGGACGATGGCGAGTTCGGAAATCACAATTATATGATATAAATTACATCTACTACTAGTATGCCAATTATTAATTACTATAGAAAGTAGAGTAGTAGAGTAATAATATTATAGGTAGTAAGTAGGGGACACTACACACAGAGAAGAGAGCAGTATTTGCACATTCAGAATATAGCATAACGGAGAGTATAGTAGCAGCAGTATTTCAGTAGTAACGTAGCAGTAGCAGTAGTAGTAGCAGCAGTAGCATATAATTAGTAGCAGTATTAGAGCGGCAGTAGAGTATAATAGTAAGCAGTAGCAGTAGTAATATTAGCAGTAGCAGCAACAGTAGTAATAGTAGCAGCAGCAGTAGTAATAGTAGCAGCAACAGTATTAATAGTAGCAGCAACAGTAGTAATAGTAGCAGCAATAGTAGTAATAGTAGCAGCAACAGTAGTAATAGTAGCAGCAGCAGTAGTAATAGTAGCAGTAGCAGGAACAGTAGTAATAGTAGCAGCAACAGTAGTAATAGCAGCAGCAGCAGCAATAGTAATAGTAGCAGCAGCAGTAGTAATAGTAGCAGCAACAGTAGTAATAGCAGCAGCAGCAGCAATAGTAATAGTAGCAGCAGCAGTAGTAATAGTAGCAGCAACAGTAGTAATAGTAGCAGCAACAGTAGTAATAGTAGCAGCAGCAGTAGTAACAGTAGCAGCAACAGTAGTAACAGTAGCAGCAGCAATAGTAATAGTAGCAGCAGCAGTAGTAATAGTAGCATAGCAGTAGTAATAGTAGCATACAGTAGTAATAGTAGCGTAGCAGAGTACATTCAGTAAAAGTACATAGCAGTAGTAAATGTGCAGCAGCAACAGTATGTAATAGTAGCAGCAGAGTAGTATTCAGTAGCAGCACGTAGTAATAGTAGCAGCAGCAGTAGTATAATAGTAGCAAGTAGCAGTAGTAATAGTAGCAGCAGCAAAGTAATAGTAGCAGCAGCATGTAATGGCAGTAGTAATAGTAGCAGCAGCAGTAGTAAAGTAGCAGCAAGCAGTAGTAATAGTAGCAGCAGCAGTAGTAATAGTAGCAGCAGCAGTTAGTAATAGTAGCAGCAGAGTCAGTAGTAATAGTAGCAGCAGCAGTAGTAATAGTAGCAGCAGCAGTAGTAATAGTAGCAGAGCAGCAACAGTAGTAATAGTAGCAGCAGCAGTAGTAATGTAGCATCAACACGTAGTATAGAGCAGCAGCAGTAGTAATAGTAGCAGCAGCAGTAGTAATAGTAGCAGCAGCAGTAGTAATAGTAGCAGCAGCAGTAGTAATAGTAGCAGCAGCAGTAGTAATAGTAGCAGCAGCAGTAGTAATAGTAGCAGCAGCAGCAACAGTAGTAATAGTAGCAGCAGCAGTAGTAATAGTAGCATCAACACTAGTAATAGTAGCAGCAGCAGTAGTAATAGTAGCAGCAGCAGCAACAGTAGTAATAGTAGCAGCAGCAGTAGTAATAGTAGCATCAACATAGTAATAGTAGCAGCAGCAGTAGTAATAGTAGCAGCAGCAGCAACAGTAGTAATAGTAGCAGCAGCAGTAGTAATAGTAGCATCAACACTAGTAATAGTAGCAGCAGCAGTAGTAATAGTAGCATCAACACTAGTAATAGTAGCAGCAGCAGTAGTAATAGTAGCAGCAGCAGTAGTAATAGTAGCAGCAGCAGTAGTAATAGTAGCAGCAGCAACAGTAGTAATAGTAGCAGCAGCAGTAGTAATAGTAGCAGCAGCAGCAACAGTAGTAATAGTAGCAGCAGCAGTAGTAATAGTAGCAGCAGCAGATAGTAATAGTAGCAGCAGCAGTAGTAATAGTAGCAGCAACAGTAGTAATAGTAGCAGTAGCAGCAGCAATAGTAATAGTAGCAGCAGCAGTAGTAATAGTAACAGTAGCAGTAGTAATAGTAGCAGTAGCAGTAGTAATAGTAGCAGTAGCAGTAGTAATAGTAGCAGTAGCAGTAGTAATAGTAGCAGTAGCAGTAGTAATAGTAGCAGTAGCAGTAGTAATAGTAGCAGTAGCAGTAGTAATAGTAGCAGTAGCAGTAGTAATAGTAGCAGTAGCAGTAGTAATAGTAACAGTAGCAGTAGTAATAGTAGCAGTAGCAGTAGTAATAGTAGCAGTAGCAGTAGTAATAGTAGCAGTAGCAGTAGTAATAGTAGCAGTAGCAGTAGTAATAGTAGCAGTTAGCAGTAGTAATAGTAGCAGTAGCAGTAGTAATAGTAGCAGTAAGCAGTAGTAATAGTAGCAGTAGCAGTAGTAATAGTAACAGTACATAGTAATAGTAGCAGTAGCAGTAGTAATAGTAGCAGTAGCAGTAGTAATAGTAGCAGTAGCAGTAGTAATAGTAGCAGTAGCTAGTAATAGTAGCAGTAGCAGTAGTAATAGTAGCAGTAGCAGTAGTAATAGTAGCAGCAGCAATAGTAATAGTAGCAGCAGCAGTAGTAATAGTAGCAGTAGCAGTAGTAATAGTAGCAGTAGCAGTAGTAATAGTAGCAGTAGCAGCAGCAGTAGTAATAGTAGCAGCAGCAGTAGTAATAGTAACAGTAGCAGTAGTAATAGTAACAGTAGCAGTAGTAATAGTAGCAGTAGCAGTAGTAATAGTAGCAGTAGCAGCAGCAGTAGTAATAGTAGCAGCAGCAGTTAGTAATAGTACAGTAGCAGTAGTAATAGTAGCAGTAGCAGTAGTAATAGTAGCAGTAGCAGCAACAGTAGTAATAGTAGCAGCAGCAGTAGTAATAGTAACAGCAACAGTAGTAATAGTAGCAGCAGCAGTAGTAATAGTAACAGCAGCAGTAGTAACAGTAGCAGCAGCAGTAGTAATAGTAGCAGCAGCAGTAGTAATAGTAGCAGCAGCAGTAGTAATAGTAGCAGCAGCAGTAGTAATAGTAGCAGCAGCAGTAGTAATAGTAGCAGCAGCAGTAGTAATAGTAGCAGCAGCAGCAACAGTAGTAATAGTAGCAGCAACAGTAGTAATAGTAGCAGCAACAGTGGTAACAGTAGCAGAAGCAGTAGTAATAGTAGCAGTAGTAGCAACAGTAGTAATAGTACCAGCAACAGTAGTAATAGCAGTAGCAGCAGCAATAGTAATAGTAGCAGCAGCAGTAGTAATAGTAGCAGTAGCAGCAACAGTAGTAACAGTAGCAGCAGCAATAGTAATAGTAGCAGCAGCAGTAGTAATAGTAGCAGTAGCAGCAATAGTAATAGCAGTAGCAGCAGCAATAGTAATAGTAGCAGCAACAGTAGTAACAGTAGCAGCAGCAGCAAGAATATATTAAAACCAACGCACTAAGTGGAAAATAAGATGACTCAAAATCATGGCATATTCCAGCGATAAATTCAAAGAATGAATCATTGCCCATAATTCAAAGAGAAAGATATCTTTAATGGCTGTACCCTGAGAGAGAGAGAGAGAGAGAGAGAGAGAGAGAGGAGAGAGAGAGAGAGAGACAGACAGACAGACAGACAGACAGACAGACAGATACAGAGCTTCCTTAAGACCTAAAAAGCAAACACGGATTCTAAAGTATAGAACTCCCAGACTAATGGAGGAAATACCTTCTACCAACACGAAGAGTTTACTCAACCATTCGTCTCCATTTGGACAAGGGCCACTAGTTTATACAAGACAGGGGTTGTGTGTTCTGAAGAGCGGTCTTGCATCTCTTATAAATGACATAATCACCCTTGATGACCTCTAATCCTGACAGTTCCTCTTCCTTCCTTCAACATCTTCATCACAATCTTAAGACAGGAAATTTTCTCTTTATTATTTGTTTCTTCCGGTTTATTGAGACAGTTTCCCGGGCGGCTCTTATTAATAATTTAATAATAATAATAATAATATTAATAATAATGATAATATAAATAATAGTAATTGATATTATTATTATTTTTATTATTATTATTTTTTTATTATTATTGTTATTATTATTATTTTTTTATTATTATTGTTATTATTATTATTATTATTAGTATTGTTATTATTATTGTTGTTGTTGTTGTTGTTATAATAATACTTATTATTACTACAAAGTTAATAATTATAATTATTATTACAAAGTTAATAATAATAATAATTTATTAATATCATCAGCTGAGCCTTGTCTGTAGAATTACTTTATTGATCACTTGTATGAAGCCGGTTTTCTTGTCTTCATTTCTCTCTCTCTCTCTCTCTCTCTCTCTCTCTCTCTCTCTCTCTCTCTCTCTCTCTCTCTCTCTCTCTATCTATCTATCTATCTATCTATCTATCTATCTGTCTCTCTCCTACTGCTCCTACTATTACCCTCACTGCACTTACAATATAAGTTCCACTCTGGTCTCTGTGAGATCGGCTCAACTTCTCTAAATTCTACGTATTGCTGACCAAGACTTCCACTCCTCCACCTCTGCTTCCTCGTTATCTGCTACCCTTCTGGGAATACTGCACTCCTTATTGCACCACTTTCTTCTCCGTGATGTCTCATTAAATTACTAGCTTGATATTTGGGCTAAGTTGAGCGTCAAGTTAGCTTATGATCGACTAATATATTTACTCTTGAAACTGTGTATGAATTTTACTGCTACTGTTGTGTGTTTTTATTAATGTATGCGCAGGTGTGTGTGCTTATATAATACTGTTATTTTTTCTTATACAATTTTGCCAATCAATTTAACCCGTGTGACTCCTATTAAGAACTTCTCATCTCCCCACAGGTACATTACCGGAGCTGGCGACGCTGCAGGTGAGTGACAACCCAATCATCTTCCCACCGCCTGATGTTATAAAAGGAGGGACCCGCGTTATTTTGCGATTCCTGAAGGAAAAATGTGCCGCTAGTGAAAATAACGAGAGCCTTACCAACCCTTGCACCGCTGACGAGGATCACCCCGGGGGAAATCATAAAATTTTAGCTTCAAACGCCAGGGAACGTTCGGAAAGTTGGGAGGAGGAAGAAGAAGAAGATAGTTCGTTTGATAATGAGGAAAATGGCGGTGGTGTGGAGAGGTGTGGCAGCGCCCGGACATGGTATGGATGGGACGGTGGGAGTGAAGGTGACACTGAGGACTCTGAAAGTGATCAAAATTCTCGCCGACGGCAGAAAAGAGGCAGTGAAAACGAGTCGAAAGATGATGAAGATGAAGAAAAGGGTGATAACCCCCCCTCACTCTCCACCAACTTCCGCATCGCCATCACCAAGGGCGTGGAGGAGCAGCACGACCTCCACCTCAGCCTCCAGCAGCGTCCTGACAGCGAGAGTGACACTCTAGGGCGAGCTTCTAGCCCCGCCTCGGCGTGTCTCTTGACCCCCAACTTCGACTTCCCAACGAGACCAGAGTTCGACGTGACGCGCGAGGACGCGACTTGCGAGCGAGGCCTGGGGCACGACCCCAGGGGCCCCGAGGACAACACCCCAGGAGTGACCTGGAGCTGTGACTGTGTCCAGGACACATCTTGCATCTCTCCAGACAGCAGGATGCGCATCCTCAACAGGCTTCCAGACTCCAAGCACCGATTTCTCAACTCCTTCAGCAGTCCGCGTGCTGACTCCCTTCAGAGCTTTCTCCTGCCGGTGGGCTCCATCATGGTGCCTTCAGAGGCACTGAGCCACATAGAGGGCCACCGCAGGACCATACATCTCCACCTGCAGGGTGACCCCCACCAGTTGGAGGACGACATGGAGAGCCTGGAGGGAGACCTAGGAGAAGGTTATAGGAGACCACTCAGTGAAGCTCTCAGCCACACTGATGACGACTGTCAGCGACAGGTGAGTCAGCCACAACGACGACTGTCAGCGACAGGTGAGTCAGCCACAACTACGACTGTCAGCGACAGGTGAGTCAGCCACAACGACGACTGTCAGCGACAGGTGAGTCAGCCACAACGACGACTGTCAGCGACAGGTGAGTCAGCCACAACGACGACTGTCAGCGACAGATGAGTCAGCCACAACGACGACTGTCACCGACAGGTGAGTCAGCCACAACGACGAATATCAGCGACAGGTGAGTCAGTAACTAACAACCACTGTCAACGTCAGGTGAGTCAGTAACTAACAACGGCTGTCAACGACAAGTGAGTCAGCCACAATAACAATGACTGTCAACTACAGAAGAGTCAAAGAAGAACACAAATCCACAATACTAGCCTCCAGAACAATTCACAGACTACAATTAACAGCTAATGGCCAAAGACACAAGGAATCGTCGTCAGAAGTATTCAAAATGTGACCGTGTTGGCGCTGTCCGTGTTAATAATAATGTTAGTGATACCCACCTTAGTGATACCCACCTTAGTGATACCCACCTTAGTGATACCCACCTTAGTGATACCCACCTTAGTGATA